CAAAAACTGGCATCAGCTGTATTTTCATTGGCTACAAAATTACAGCCGTGCATCATTTTTATCGACGAAATCGATTCATTTTTGCGTTCACGAAGTTCACATGACCATGAAGCAACTGCCATGATGAAGGTATTTTGGTATTTATTAATAAACAAAATCCTCTAGTTTTAAAAAATACTGCCAATGTTAATAATAATATATACAATTTATTGTTTCAAAGACTCAATTTATGATGCTATGGGATGGATTGGCAACAACACCAGGAGCAACTATAATCGTCATGGGCGCAACGAATCGTCCAAAAGATTTGGATCGTGCGATTCTACGTCGAATGCCTGCGCAATTTGTCATTGGTGCACCCGACACAGAACAACGTCGAAAAATTTTACAACTTGTGCTTGAAACAGAAAGTGTAGCTTCAGATGTTGACTTGAATCGACTGGCCAAACTTGCTGTCAACTTTTCGGGATCTGATTTACGGGAATTGTGCAGAAATGCATCCGTTGCGAGATTGCGAGAGTTCGTTCGGGTTAATGATGGTACAACCTCGGACGCACGCCTTGAAAATACTACCAAATTGGATAAACCACCACCACCAATATCAATGCAACATTTGCTAGATTCATTCGGCAAGATGAAGGAATCAAAGATGCACACCGGAATGCTGGGAGAGCATCGTATTGATTTAGATTAGGGAGATTAGTAGTGAATGTAATACATATATGTATAATCTAGTTCAATAAATATCGAATGAGAAGAGCCTCAAATCAAGACATTACACTTGTGGCTTTTTTTATATAAATAAATTATTGAAATTTTCATCGATCTGATATTTTCGTTGGAAATGCTATTCAATAATGAAAAAAATTTCAAATGGTTATGGAGCATTCCCTTTTTATTTACTCTAGAAAAATCAATCTGAATGAATGCTCATTAAACGCACCCATTGCCCGAAAAAACGTGTTGACATTAGCGGCAAATGAAGTAAGCAAGCTAACTTATTCGTATCAACACACGTGCTCCGAATTACTGCGAATAGTCAATTCGAATTGAATACAAATTCGTTTCAAACAGAAATATATAGGAAAGTTATAGAAAAAAATACATTGTGAAATTCAATCATAAACAAAACAAAACAAAACAGAACAGAACAGAACAAAGGAAGATGCCACGGTCCAAGCGTGATAAAAAGATTTCGCTCACTAAAACAGAGCGCAAAGGGTTACAATGGAAACAACAGATTGTTGAAGACATCAGAAACTGTGTACAGAAATATCCAAACATTTATTTGTTTTCTGTGCAAAATATGCGGAATAATTTGCTAAAAGAACTGCGCTCAGAATGGAAGAGAGATGCACGTTTCATATTCGGTAAAAATCGTGTTATGCAATTGGGCCTGGGAAAATCAGAAGATGACGAAGTTGAGTCAGATTTACATAAATTGTCAAAACGATTGCGCGGTCAATGTGGTTTGCTGTTTACAGTTCGAGGTGAAGATGATGTATTGGAGTGGTCAAAACAGTATTCGGCCTTGGAATATGCACGCAGCGGCTTTATTGCAACTGAAACCGTAGTTCTGTCAGAAGGTCCACTGGAGGACTTTTCACACGCTATTGAGCCACATTTGCGTTCACTTGGAATGCCAACAAAATTGGAAAAGGGAATTGTTACACTCTACAAAGATTACACTGTCTGTACCGAAGGAAAGGTTCTAACACCAGAACAGGCCCGAATTCTGAAACTAATCGCCAAACCGATGGCAACATTCACGCTGGAAATTAAGTGCAGTTGGTCGCGAGAGAAAGGTTATAAATCATACGTTACCGATGATGTATCTGCGACTGACAGCGGCAGCAATGCGGGCGATGAAGAAGACGTCGAAATGAGCGATGAGGAATGAATATTAGCGTGTATATATATTGATATACTGTAAGCCTAATTTACAATATTTTGAAATGCAAAATTAAACGAAATTTGTGGAAATAGTAAACGTTTTTTCTTTCGTAATATTTATTCTTCTAAAATTATTTAAATGGATAACAAAATGAATGTAATCAATGGTAAGACTAGATTATCAATTTGATCGGTATAAGTTTCAACTAATGAACTGGTTGTAATTGCAATGAGATATTTTAACACAGCAAATGCACTATAGTGAACTAACCCATAGTAAATTAATAACGGAAGTACTAAACTCTGTGCAACAATTCCGGAAATCGTTCCTTCGGCAGTCTTTTGACAATGTGAAGACAGAAAGGGCAATTGATGTGTACCGAATTTTGATCCCACAATGCTTGCAGCTGTATCGCCGATACCAACTGAAATAACGCCAGCCATTAGAGGCAGAAGTTCAAAACCGGCTGAGTCAGTTAAATCGCAAGGGCACGGATGCAACCACAATGGTAGGGAACATCCCATGAGTAAATAGATGGGCGTTAACGCTACAAGGCCGGCGTCCTTTTCATCGATAAAACACTTTACAGAATTGTCGAGAACGTTATAAACGGGTGATAGTTGAATGATTCGCATCGTCTCTAATACAATTAACAATGCAAGTGCAATTCCCGAGGAAACATATATGAATGCACACTGATAGACTATGCCCGGAACGAATACAAGTACAATCAAAACATGGAAAATTTTTCGTGTTCGTGTATTACTTCGTTTATGGCGATTCATTTGCCATGCAACGGTCGTGATTGTCATTCCAATCAAACCAACGTATAAAGCAATCATTGCAACCTTTTGTAGATCCTTTATAAGAAACTCTATTAAAATTACAATGGCCATCTGATCATCAATTGGAAATAGTATAATGACTATAGTAAGAACCGTTAGAAGTGCGTAGAATGCCAGACCACGCAAAAATTTTACAAAGTAGCAGCAACAGGCCAAGAGTGCTACGCCAGCCAAACCAATCTGATGGAAATTTCGATATTGTATTATTAAATGTTCATTCATATAAATATATATTTATATTTTATAAGATTTAATACCTGCAAAATTATAGTTAATTGCTTCATCTCTGATGTGTGCTCGTTCGTTTTCTGATTTAGTTTTATGTAGAAATTCATCAAAAAAACAACAAGGCCCTGTGCAATAATTGCTGCTTCACCTAAAACCCATAAGCTATAAGATATTCAAACCAAAACTAAAAAAAATAAGAAAAAACATTTGAAAATAAACCGTAGGTAAAAGAATTCGGCATTTCTCGTAAAACGAAATTGAAAAGTGTATGATATGTGAATAGTGTTATGAATCCAATAAATACGCCAAATAGGATGCCTTGAACGAAACAATAGTTGAATGTTATTTTTGTACATATTGTTATGAATTAATTTAAATATTGAAATATTGTTGCGTACCCTGATAAAGGAGAGATATGAGCAGTATTGATACAAACACAGAAGGAATCGCTTGAAGTATCCACACAAATTTCTGAAGTCTAATTTTCGGCGCATGCCGAAGGATATAAGTTTGCAGCACCATGCCAAAAACCACTATCGTGGAACATTTATACTCAATTGTAACAGACCGCTCAAACTTCCAACAATTTACTAAGTATGCGGCAAACAAAAGGTGACTTAACCACCATCCACTGCTCGCAAATGGCCTATACACATATGCATTGAAGAACCGTACTTTTTTATTTTTCAATTTCATAATGGCAATGCACGAAGAAACTCTCTCACCTCAATTGTATAGTCACACATACCGATGTTTCCGCAAGCCGCTGCTTCAAGTTTTCTTTGGTGCCCATTATATTTGAAAAAAAAATGCTCCCACAAACAGTGATCGAAACTTTTCATTTACTTGATAATGCAAATGATTATATATATATATATGTATAATTTGACAGGCATGAAGTTTTGTCATTGAACATACACATTGAAATGTCAATGTATGTATGTCTGAATGTGCATTCTTGTATTTGCCGCTGGACTGAATTTCACAACATCGACACACCGATTGACGCATTAAAATAAATAAAACGAATTACATACGTAATCCAAACTTTTCCGCTCCGCAGCAATTTAGTTTACCTCACGCTTAATGTTTAACCAAAATTTCAATGGACCCTTTTTTCATAGCATTTTTGACCTTAAAATATAACTATTTCGACCATTTTCCATACAAAAGTGTCATTTCTGAACAAAATTTCAAAAATTTCAAGAAATGTTGATTTCAGACCAAATTTATGGTGTTCGGTTATTCACATACTCCCATTATTTTTGCAAAAAAATGGCAGTTTGTCTTGATCGAAACCCTGAAAAATGCTTTTTTCGGGTACCTCCCGTACAAAAGTGTCATTTTTCAAGGTTTTTCAGGTCCTCAGTCGGAGGCTTATGGTACGAAATTGGTAAATCAGAATGTGCTCAAAATCAATCCGAAGCTTTGTCTTGACATGCCAAAACTTTTGGCTTTTACAGATCTCAATTATCTTGTCAAGTTTTTGAGATAATCGGTGAACAAAAAACGCGAACGCGAACGCGGACGCGGACGACGCCATACGAACATCGCTATTTTACACATTTTTCATAGTAAATAACGTATTTTTGGAGGCAGATAGGTCTTGATCGATAGAATTTAGTCCCATCTACATTGCCTAGTGTATGTGCCCAGATATGTGCTTTTTGAAATCTGACGTGACGTTATAGTGTTCCGAAAGAGGAGATGTCATGAAATTTTGGCTAGTAAAACCAATACTTTTCCATACAAACAAAGTTTGCGGAAAAGTAAAAATCTACGAAAAATAAAAATGAGGTGAACGTAGAATATCTTATGATATGCAGTCATGGACAAAATTGAGCGTACGATCCAACTATTGGGGTTTCATATGGTAATTTCGTGTATTTTTAAATGTTTTTTCAATCAGACAAAAGGCCTTATTAATGCCAAATAGTGTAAACTAAGCGCCCAAAAAAGATTTTCAATGAATATAATGTAATTTACCAGAATTTCAAGCCAAATGATGGCACGCAATTCTGTTACACCCTGTATACACATCCGTTGGATATTGAACGATGTTGAACGATGTTGAACTGCTATTTGATTGTATTTAAAAAAAAAACGTCAATCTATGCAAGCAACACATAAAATTCGTTTTTATTACATTGAATTTTTTGAAAAATGTAATCCAAAAATAAAACAAATGAAAACAAACGAACATTCATTGCTCGAAATCTAACAAAACCGCCCAAAACTACACAAAACTACACAAAAATGCACAAAACTATTTCAAGCCGTACATACCATTGAACAAAAATCGACCGGAATATGGAATGTCAACAAACGGAATGACATTTGTTCAACTTCGTTGTGGACTTTGTATACGAAAACACGCGAAAACAATACACAAAATAT